TGCTCGGAGGCATTCTGAAATCAAGCCATTAAAATATTTCCGTGTGCAAATGAAGTAAACTTTTTTTTTTTTTCCACGGTGCAAAATGATGTTACTTATGTTCCTGATAGTATTACAGAAAAGCAATGCATGAAAGAATCTAAAAGTTTAAAAAGCTGGTTAGTTCTGTCTGGTTCTGCATGCTCGTGGTAGGCTCAGGCTAACCGTAAGTGGAAAGATGACAACACAGTATTGAAAGAAAGCATAGACTTTCATTTTTACATTATGCTTTATTTTCAACTCCCTGTTTTGTGTTTGCTTTTTTAAGAAACTCTGACAGGTAAAAGAGGGAAGGTGAGAATTGAACATAAAAATGTCTTCATTTTTATAATTGTATGGAAATGAAGTGTTGCTTGTAGCAGAACACGCGTTTTATCTGTATTTACTGGTTGGTGGGAAATGTTGAATTCTCCTAGCAAAGGAGTATTTAAACTGCCAGCTCTATGTTGTTGCTCATTGAGAGCTCTCTGTTTTCTGAATTGCTGTTCCTGGCCTTGCAACTTGACATTTGTGCTTTCAGTTAAATATTTCAGTTTTCTGATTTAAGAAACAACAAAAAAACCCCAGTAGTAAACTTGTCCCTTAAGCTAAATTTGCATATGTTGCAGACATGATTTGGCATGTAAAGGGACTGGCCAAAAATATGGCAGTAGTTTTATTTGTTTTGAGGTTCGGATTTCACAAAAGCTTTTTAAGTATGCATAGGCAGCTATCAACCTAGTAGAAAGCTTTATAGTTAGAGTCCTGGAGAGCTTGGAGGGCAATGACTATGAATAGTGGAATAAGCATGAGTGATGTAATCTGAGAGGCATAAGAGAGAGACAGAAGAGAGCTTAAGACTTAACTGTGTGGAAAACATTGTGAATGGGTCTGGGAGGATTTTGACTTTTGACGGTAGATGTGGGATTTTACCCATTAGTTTTGGCAAAAACAAACAGAGTAAACCCTGTTTTACAAAATTGCAAATTTTCTTTTGCCTTTTCAGAACAGCAAAGAAACTTATGTAGGTAGCTGAGCTAATATTAAGTCTGATTTCTGTAACTTGTTCTGCGTCTCCCCAGTCTTTTCTGCAGTAGTCCCTCCTAGTTCCCGATGGCATCTGCAGTTCCTCCCCACAGTACCCGTAGCGTTCCCTATCTCCTGTTGCCCCAGCCGATGCGGTCCTCATTCTCGGCCACGGCCCTGATGTTCCCTGCAGCACTGACCTCTAAACACTCCTGGATCATCCTGTCCTTTACCGTCCTTTTTGTGCTTTTCCGGGAGAAAAGTCAGCATGTGCTCTGGCTGGTGTAAGTCTACATGAACTCCTGCTTTTTCTCACTGGAGCACTAATTTTGGTCTCCTACTCAGCCTCTGACTTTCACTTCTGGAAGTTAATCTCTGCAACTGCAACCCTCGTTGCAGTTGGACAACAGTATCTGAGAGAGAGAGACACCGACAGCTAAAAAAAGTCCTACTCTTCCTCAGTTCACTCTGAATATATTTTGAAATATTTTTACTCTGCACATCCATGAGTTCAAGTGGAAGTGGTGTGGGTTTTTTCCATTTTCTTATCTTAAGCAAACATCTACTAGTACATATTCTATTTAACTTGTTATTTAATAAATCACAAACTATATTAAATACCCACAAAAAACTTTAAATAACTTCAAAAATATAACTCTGTATGGAGAATATTAAATATATATCTCTGTATATATATCTCTATATATAACTCTGTATGGAGAATATTAAATATATTCCACACCTCGCTGTCCTTTCTCAAAAGTACGGTGTGTCAGGTTTTCCTCAGCTCTTCCCAAGAACTAGACCTGCAGAGTGCTTACCTTTTCTGTAGCAGTGTTACAGAATCTGTACTACCGGAAGCATCTCACGGGATTTCTTCTTGTCCCGTGTATTTTGGATGCGCAGACTGGGCAGTACTCTGATCTTCCCAGTGAAAAATGGTTTTACTGATTTATCCAGACAGATGCTTGGGTTTCTTCATGTATGAACAGAATACTTTTTAACATCTTAAGCTCGTGAAAGGTTACCTTTCTGGTATTAAAACTATACCCTCATGTTATTGCAGTCCCTGAAAGTTCCCTTTACTGCAGGACATGGCTGCATTTCCTCTGTTGCCCGTAGTTCCAGCTGGGGAATTTTTTTCAATTTCATTATGTTAAAACCTAGTGTGTTTGTGTATATATATGATACAATTTATTATTAATAAACGCTGTGCCTTTCTCAGCTCCTTCTAGCAGTCTAGACCTGGGTGTTATTTCTTGTTGCTGTTCCTCAGGATGGTGGGCTCCCCGCATCGTGTCAGTCTCTGGGGTTAGGGTCAGTAAGAGCGAAGAAGTGTCCTGTTGTTTCTCTTTTCCTGGGCTGGGGGAGCAGGTTTGTGGGATTCTGAGGGATTTTTATTTTTTTTTCTTAAACATGAAAAACACTGTTCTTGTTCCAGTTTTGTAAGCATCCTTCCCTAGTGTCTCCTAGATCAAGGCAGGCATAGCTAATGCTTTGAAGTATAATCCAGCAGGCAAATTTATCTCTATCTTTATTTTTAGCTTTATCATGCGTTTGTATATTAGGGTCGCCCAAGTCCTGTCTCTGATGAAGAGCTGAGATACAGAAATTGTTCGGCTTAATCTTGGTCATTCAAAGCTCTCAAGTTGAAATGAAGGAATTTCCACTGATGAGGGTTGGTTTCTTTTTAAAATGTAACTTGAATCCTGATGTTGAAAATAATATGCCCTCTATTTTACTTTGGCAACTGAATCTTGAGTTCCTAGTAAATACAGGAGTATTTAGGATACAGTGCAAGTGTAGCTGCACCAGCTTTTAATAGTTATCTCTACAACTGCACTCTAATGTAAACATGCAGGTAATTAGAACTGCTTGTTTACAGCTGAGCTTGCTTACTTAGAAACAGCAATACATTGAGGTATGTTTTTGACAGCTAAGGGGCAAAATTATCTGCTTTTTGAGGAATGTGGTAGTGGAATGTCTTGATGAGATGTTTGCTTTTGAGGTGTTTGCTATTACAAAAGCGCGAGAAGGTTTGAGACCTCCTCTATTAGCTACCTGTTGCTGGCGGTATTCTCCAAAGGGCTGTTTAATAAGTCATTGTGTTCACTTGTCTTTTCAGTTAAGGCACCCTTGCAGCCTCCCGAGGGTGGTGGCGGCACTGATGGAGCATTTTGCGGTGTGCAGGGTTCCCTTCGGAGGCGTAGCGCGGTCCCAGCAGAGCTCGCGTTCAGCCTGGAGTGGCACCTTCGCAGCCGGCCGGGGGCTTGGCGGCTGCCACCTCCTCGCTGTGACCGGAATGCTCTCTGCTGGTCTGTCGCTCTGTGTGCGTAGATGCACTGCTGTTTCCTTCAAGTTAAGACGTTTTTGTTCTGTTTTGCTGATGTAATTATCTATATAAGTGTTCATATTAATTGGAAAGGGTTGCAAAGAAATAAATGGGTATCAGCAAAGTAGGTTTCTTCCTTAAGTCTGTGATGAGAAAGGATGCCTTGCTTGATTTTTTTGCTTGATTTGCTTGATTATTTTTTTTTAGTAGATAAGAATGTGTAATGGGACACTAAGCACAGTAAGTTCAGAAAGCTGTGTATACCTGTTTTAACTCTGATAATTTAAATAACTTCAAAATAAATACACTAGCTAAATTGGATTTAACGTGGCATTACTGTGGAAAAATTAAACTAAATGATTTAATGAATTTTAATTTAATTGCATAACAGCGATTGGCATGACTTCACATATTTTGTGTTGCTTTTAACAGTTTAAGACCATTTAAGATAAAAGTGAAAATCACGTTTGCAATAACTTTTTTTTAAAATAAGCAAAAGATGATAATCACAAGGACACAGCTATTTACTGAAAAGATTTTATTAAATACATATTTTTTTTTTGTGCTTTTCAGAAATGAGAATATAATAATAGCACTACATTATTCATGAAAAAAACCTGCAATGCAAAGCTGAGGAATTTTTTTTTTTTTTTCCTTAAATGAGTGAGAAAACTGAAAGGAGGAAGGCTCAGTTCAGTACTCGGGCTTCTCAGGAAAGCTGATAATACTGTGATCCCATCCACTGGACCACCCCAAGCCCTTGTGGTGGTCAGGGAGAGCAGCTCCCCTTCTCTCGTCCTCACCGACACTTTCTACACTTCCAAGTATTTGACAAAACAGTTGCAGAGGTCAGTGTCAGTAAGGATTTTAAGTGAAATGTTTCTGACACTTTGTCTCAATGTATTTCACAGCAAGCATGTTATACAACTTTCTGGAAGATTTGCTTTACGGGGTGGTTTGGGTTTTTTGTTGTTAAATTTCTATAGAGTAGGAAGTTACTGAATTTTCCGTACTGGGTTTTGAAGCATACTAAAATAGATGCCTGTAAATTAGATGCAACCTTTTACTTTTGGTATGTAAAAATGATTAATGTTGTTTCAAAATAGTTACTCATAGGAACACATTCTGCTTATGCTGAACATTGTAGATAAAAATATGTTCCATAACTTACACATAAGACACTTAAAAATTGCAAATGTAACTATTTTGCCTTTTAGTTTTTTAAACTGAAAATGGAAGGGAACTGTGTCACTAGACTCTAATTTCAGCAAACCATTGGGAATTCAGGGTGCTCCGTACTGCCTCTGTGTTTTGCCTTCACTTAATTGGACAGTCTTCATTTTATGTAATTGCACCTTATGCAATCATATGTTTACTTTCCTTATATTTATCACCAAAGAGCTTCATAGTGTTCTGTTACCTCAGTATCTTTTTCACACCACTGGAAAATAAGGGACTAGAAAAAAGTAAAAAAGACTGAGTTTAGTAAAGTATTTCTGCTTATTTTGCACAATCCTAGGGAGTCAGAAAAAACACTTTGAAATAATGTCGGCAACATATTGTCTGGCTTTTTTCCTCACAATTTTATTCATACTTTGGAAACATAAAAAGGTTTGCCCAAAAGGGGGAGGGAGGGGGTGAGGAAGGGGGAAGGAAAAGTAGACAGAAGTGATAGTCTTAATTATTACTTATGGACATCATCTAATATGCACACATTATTAACAAAAAAAAAAAAAAGGCCTACTAGATATATCTCCCTTAGACAGAAATGGAAAGTTAACCCAATTCTGTCCTAGAATAAAACTTTATTTGACAAATTTAAAATAGTTACTTCTCTCTTGGATTAACTGGAATCAGCTGAGACCTCTATTTTGTTAATTAAAATTAATAGATTCCATTCTGATAATTTTGGAAAATTTAAACCCAATAGGACAATGTGATAACAGTAATTTTTTGGACTTAATTTTATTTTTAATAGTATTGTTTGGGCATAAATTTATTACTGAATGCAGAAGGTAAAATAATACGTAGTTGTGCAGAGAAAGCAAAAATGTTCTATAGTTATTTTATTCCTAAAAAAAGAAGGTATGTATCCATCCTATGCAAGGCTGCAAATAGAAAGGGAGGGTTGGCATCTGTGAGAAAGGCAAATACCAACATCATCTGGTAGAGTATGGATATTTTCAAAACAACAATAAATAATGGATAAAAATACCAAAGGAACTATGTGAGAAACTGTGGGATACACTAATGTTAATTTCTTTATAAATCTTAGAAAAAGGGGAACCATTCCATTGCTTAAAGTAAGAGATTGCCCAGATGCTTTACATCAAATACGGGCATTTTAATTTATTGTTATTACTTATTATAGGTTCTTGCAATGAGGATGAATAGAAGAATATCATGAACGGTCAGCTTAGCTTCACATGTAGTGAGATCTTGTTGAATGAACCTGTGCCTTTTTGGAAAGATTATAGATCTGGTTGATCAAATCAACTGGTTTGGTATTGACGGCTTTCTTCTGTTGTTTGGTGTAATATCACTTTATATTTGGTTTTTAAAAGTTACGTTGTGTGGGATTGACAGTGCCTGTGTTACTGGAATGTAGAAGCTGGCTTACTGGTGGATCTCAGTGTGGTGGTTAACAGAGGCGACGAGTGGGACCACTGCTTAAAAAAAGGGAAAGTGAAACATAAGTAATAAAGTGGGCTTCCAACACTTGATAAGAGTGTTGTTAAAATGGTATACCCCATGCTGGTATCTTCACTGCACGAAGGATGTGGAATTACTGAGAAGACTTCAGCAGAAGCGCCACGGGAGCGGTACGAGCTTCAGCAGTCGGGAGTGCGAAGGGGATTTCATTGCTGCGGAGAGGTGCCGCTGTGCAAGGCAGACACCTAAAAACGAAGGCGGGCGCGAGATTCGCTACCTTAGTCTTAGAGACACTTTAACTGAAATAATGTGTTGGCGATGAGGAAGCCTCATTTGAGTTCCCTGAGAAGGAGAGGGTTATTTTTAAACTGTTATTTCAATCCAGCTTCTGGAGATAGAGCTTTCCTGATGCGAGCGTGCGTGCTTGTGGTGGCTGCCCCAGCCTTGGGGAGCGCGGAGCTACTTCATGGGCTGTACGTTACCCACTTCCTTTGCAACTGTGGGATTTTATTTTTTTTTCTTTTATTACACTGAACATCATGATGATACATGCAATTCTGCGTTGGTATTTGAAGCCTTGAAACCTTAGGGTCCTGTGCTTACCTGCAGGCATCAGGGAGGCAGGGAGTGTGGGGGTTGACTTTTGGTTTTGGTTTTTTCCTCATCAGATAGTTTGCTAGTTGTGTTTTGTCACTGTTCGCACTTCCTTCTGAAGCATCAAAGATGGGACAGGGTGTGAGGTGATGGTAGAAGATCCTCTTTTGTGTCGGACTGGTTGATTCTTACTCACACGATCCAGATAAAGTTAGTTGAAGAGCTTGAGACAGAAAGAAACTATATGACTAGGAACTGTGAGGCCTGTTTCCATCTGCGGCTGCATAAGGCTTTTTTGGCCTCTCTGAATTATTCGGGCAGACTTTCTGTAATCGGTTCTCTGCCGTTGCAGGAGCCTTGGGTGCCCAATCTCATCTCGTTTCAAATTGTGACCTTCAGGAAAAATTCTTTCACTTGAAATTTCAGCTTGATACTAAAGTGTAAGGAAAAGCACGGTGGCTTATGGGACAGTGAAAGGCAGGCAGAAGTACTTAACTCTCCTCTCTGGCCTAAAATTCTTCAAAATACTTACAAAGTGTTTGTGTTACCCGGTTGTTCCTTGCTGTACCAAAGTGCTAATGCAGGTGAAGGCCCTGCTTCTGAAGCCTCTTCTGTAGAGGCACACACATGTGCCTGAGGAGGTGGCTTAATGGATTTAGTGGGACTCTGTGATTATGGATGTCTGTGTTTTGAAAGAAATAGCAAAATTTTGCCTTAGTGTGGCGAATTCAAATTGGTATGGTTTGAGTGCATTAGTATCTCTTAATGAAACCAAATATAGGTCTCTTCAATTCCATTCATTCTGGACCTTATCTCTCTTTCTGATACATCTCACTAGTTGCCAAGCAACCTCAACAGTAGTTCTGCACATCCAGCAGCATTTAAAAAAAATAAAAATAAAAATAAAACGGAGCGAGTAGTTGTTGCTGAAAATAAGATGCCTCCTGATGACATGAATGAAAAGAATTATGAGAGAAGGAAATGAGGAATGGCGGGTTTGGAGCTGATGTTCTGAAAAAGCTAATAATATTTAGCACTTAAATAGTGCTTTTTATTTTCCAAGCACTAATCAAGCAATCGTAAGATTATTAAATAAAGACTTTTTTTTGTTTGTTTGTTTCAGTGAACCACAATTATGTTTATGCTTCACTGAGCAGAGGGCAGGAGTCAGTCCCAAGAGGGTGGGAGTTAGTTTAGTATATGTATTTCTTTCTCTGACCGGTATTGACTTACTGTGTTTCTAGTCAGACTGCAGATTAACTGGAAGGTTTGGGAGGATTTTTGTTTGTGTG